ACACACACACACACACACACACACACACACACACACACACACACACACACACACACACACAAAGACCAACAGAAACATACACACTCACACATTATGTGAACATTTCCCCAGACCTACATTATGTGGACACCCCATATCTGCCAAAGTTATACGCGGAATCATTCAATATTATACGATACAAAAACAACATTGTCCACCTGTTTTTATACTAACGTTAGTTGGACACTGCATTATGTGGACTTCATGACCTCTTGATCTTTTGCACAAGGTACACAAATGGTCCATCATTGGGACTTTCTGAATATGAATGGTTTTAAGGGCTTTGGGTTCCTATAATGTATATTAATTCACCCATGGGTTGGGGATGTATAAATAGATCCACTGTCCCTGGGATCCATGTACAACATCTTTTTTAGTGCATTTTCCTCTTCTCCTTCCTTTTTTCTCCTTTCTTCTATCATTTCTTCAACCGCTAACCCCATGCAGTAAAACAAGAGGTCGTCCATCCCACAGAGTGGGCGCCTCGTTGACCGTGAGGTGCGACCCGCGCGGATTGAAACCGGGTATCTGGTAGTTGAAGTGAGATCAGTCTGCAGATTGTCCATCGCCAACGTACCTCTTTGGCCTAGGTTTTCCTCTTAGACGGGAGGGTGGGACGGCCCATGCCATTCAATCAGTTGGGAGCTGAAGCCCCTTCAGTTTATCCTTGCGTCAATCTTGATGGGAGGGTCTAGTACACTTTCGTGAAGAGTATAACTCCAGAGTAGCCCTGGCTCAACTCTGATCTTCTGAGCAATGTTCCCCCTATTTGACTCAGTGGAGGGCGGGGAGCCCCGGAGTCGAAAAACATTCCAACACACACTGAATCCCAAAAAACATTCTGACCCAACCCCAGTCCCCAACGATACTAAAAAGTCTCGGCTCGCAGAAGCAGGTGAGGCCACAGAGCGGAGCAGACAACCAGGAAAACTGAGCTTTACGACTGCTTCTGCACTCCCTCATCCCAGGGAGCCTCCGGAGCAGCTGTATTTGACCAATTGCAACTTTGATGCACAGAAAAAGATCACAGATCTAACCATTTAAAAGACATGAGATACTTTAGCACAGACACTGGGACATATCCTCACCAACGTCCAAAAACTGTCTTTTGGTGCTCTCCTTGCATATGAAAAAGAAATGACTGGACTCATGTTTAACATGACCTTCGGCGGTATTCCGTGTGAATTTTGGCGACACAAAAAGTTCAACAGCCTGAAGAGCGTCGTCCGCAGTCATGAGGTGAAAGGCTGCTCTTCAGAAAACAAATTGTGGCTATATTGTGAGGGTGTGGTTGAAGCCCACCGGATGACTCTTCGGCGGGGCGAGATCACCCTTGAAAGGAACATAATTGTTTTGACTTTCGATTCGTGCTGCCCTCCAGCCACTGTTCGGGCAGCACACTTGGTCTTGGACGTGCGACCCTAGGTGCCAAACCCTCTGTGCTGCTTCAAGTCAGAACTTTGGCCGTAGCCAGTCGTGATGCTGACACGCAGACTTGTGTACTCCGGGCATCCTGAAAAGGTGTGAAAGGCTAGTCCTTTCTCTCCCAATTGCCACGGCCAACACTTGGTTCCAAGTACGCACCACCCAAGAGTACAAAGTACAAAGCCCGAAATGGCTGCTCATTTCAGAAGGCTCGACAGACTATCTACCCGACAGTTATGATCCCAGTCCCAGGCCGGTTAAACGCAAAGGCAGTCCGGCCGGTCTCGAGGTCGGCCAGTATTTCTACTGCCGACCTCAAAGAGCCATTGGTCAACAGGCAAAACTGCACTGAAAGCTAAAAAGGTCCCTCCTACCCTTGTGGTACCCGTCTTTGAGGTGCCACTCGCCAATTGTTTCAGAGTTCTAGGGGAGATTGAGTTGGACTCTCCCTCCGTCCCCCCTTCTTCTCTCTCCTCACGCCCCACCCCTCTGATGGAGTGTGAGGTGCCCCCTCCACCTCATCCCAGCCCGTCCCCCTTTTTCCCAACTCTCTTTGTCTGCCCCACCTCCTCCTACCCCTCCACCAGATACCCCCTCCCTATGGAGGATGGCACCTCCGATCCGGGAAGGACGGAATCGGTCCTGCAGTGAAATGCCAGAGGACTCCGACCTTCCAATGCAGAATTGCAACACTTACAGGCTACACTGTGCCCACTTGTGGCCTGTATCCAAGAGACAAAGTTCGCCCCTGCTTCAACCATAGATTTAAAAGCTTTTACCGAGCATCATCATATTCACACAGAGAACCAGACATCTTCTGGTTGAACCACCATCTACGGTACATCGACAACACCCTCCACGGACAAATACATGTACATCTTAGGACGACCCTCCAGGCTATTGCTGTATGAGTCACCCTGACAAGACCAATCACGATCTGCTCCATTATGTCCCGCCAAATTACCCCCTCAAGATTACCCAGCTTAATGACTCGAAATACCAAGTCCCCAAACCCTTTATTTTAGTAGGAGATTTTTATGCACATAGCCTCTTTTGGGGAGACAAATCCACAACATCTCCTCCATGTTTCCCGAGGCCAACACCTGCCTCTTGCTCCTTGTGGGTTCCACTGAAGCCACC